CCACGGTCCGACTCTGGAACTCGTCATGGACTTTGAAAAAGATGCATTACTCCGGGTCGTCTTGCAAATAGGATCAAGTTGCAAAAACAGGGTCAACACGCAGTATTCTTGATCACCCTAAAGGAAATAGTGTAAATACATCCCACAAGAATGGGAATCTAACATGCTTTCACCGGACGAGAAGGCGAATGCTTTGAGGCCAGAGCGACTCACAAATTTCCAGTAAAGCCAAACGACGCTTGGCTAAGAAGAATCTGCCATCGTCTTCTGGTTGCCCACGAACCATGATTATCTTCAGCAGGAACACTTTCCTTCAAAATACAATAAAGTACAACAATTGTCGATAAAAAGCTACTCTGGAAACCAATTTTTCCTTAAATAAACGCACTCTTCAAATTTCATGATCAAGAGAGAGGATCCAAGACTAAATTTTTCTTCAAAATAAAAATTTAACTCAAAGTTAATAACTTATTTGGCAAGTGATCAAAAGCCGCTCTTTTTCTGCGTACAGACAAACAGAGTGCCGGAGGGCGCTCATGACAGTTTTCAATGATACTTTAGCTCAAACAAGAGAGCCGTCCAAATGGCTTTATATACATCACCTTAATCATTATTATTATTTATTAATAATAGGTAGTAGTATCTTCATTCTCATAATTCTCATCATTATCGGCAGTAACAGCAAAAGACCGTCAAGAAGAAGACTAAACATGACAGTTTGTCAGGCTCACCTGCGCAAACTTGTCTCCGTCGCGTTCGAAAGCCTCAATCTTGTTCTCAATCTGCCTCACAACGGTGCCCAAGTCGCGTTCCAAGTGATCGTCTGAAAAGGAGAAAACAGGCGAAAGACCAAAGGTTGAATGAAGCTGGAACCGTTCTGGACTGCAACTAAATGAATGGTTGATTGGTAGAGTGCCCATCCAAAAAACCCAGACTCGTGGCGTCCTCGCCTTGGAGCAGGGATCGCGGTGACCCGATACAGATGTGTTGTCGTGCCAACCGACACCAGCTTGCCATCATGTAAAAGCGTGGCTGTGTCATCGTTGAGCTTTATCGATCGTCGTCAAAGATCCTAAAGCTTTGCCGAAGCTCGTCCAGCACCGTCAAATGTAAAAGAGCGTCGTCGAGCATCTTTTAGAATTGTTCAGTGCTGTTAAGCGTCTGGAGTGTCTTTGAGCGTTTTCGAACGTTTGTGAACATCTTCGAGCATCGCAGATCGTCTGTGGACGTTGTTGAGCGTCGACAAGTGTCCTATAGCCACTAGGAATTTGAAGAAAAGTTGTGTTTCGAGAAATCTCTTGTTTCATAATTGTTGAGCTTACTTCCATTTCGAGTAGAAGTGTTTGGTGAAGAGATTC